GGGTGGGGATGGGGGCGGGGGAACTACTCAAACTGGAATTGCATTTTCATGCACAATGGAAATCTTAAAGGCTGAACCAATCGTTTTGGAAACAGGCACAGATGACATTGGCTTGCGGAAGGAACGTCCAGGGTGAGCCAGCTGGGCCAGGACCCGGGGCTGAGGCCCTAATCCGCCTTTATCCGAGGGTTTAGCATGGCTCCCGCCGCTCACCAATCCCGGCTGGAGCCGCAGAACAGCTCTGCTTCACCTGGCTCCGTCCCAGCACAGTCTCAAGGATGCTCTCCCGTGGGGAGGCCGCGCTGGGAGGGGGAGCGACATCAAGCTTCGTGAAACTGTTTTCGAAAACCTGGGATGATCATTTAAATGTTTAAAATATGCACATGGTAATTCAAAACTAATTACCCTGAGCACATTTGAAACATTTATGCCATCATCTTGGATCCTGCCTACTGATTGTGCGCGGCAGTTCACTCTGGTGTTTCTATAAACTGCTTCAGCGATTTTAACTTCCAGGCTAAATCAGGCAGCCACGGGCGCTGCCTCCCGCCCCGGGTTGGAGGAGAGACCCCTTCCCTGACTTCCAGGCAAGGAGGCAGCCCCATTTCTCCAGAGAGCCATTTGTCATGGTCTTGTAGTTCTGGCTGCCGAATCAAGGCTCTTATTGCTGTTCATAATCACCATCTCCATTATTTAATTTAGATTAAAATGACCTCTTTCCCTCCCGATTCTTACTTCCCTTGTTCCCATTTCCTCTTCCTCAACTCGTGGACCCCATTTCCCCACTGGTTCATAAAAATGGAAAAGTACCCTTGATTGTCCCACCCCACTTGGTTACTTCTTCATCTGGGAGCCAACGTGGTGTGGTTTCTGGGTTTGCAAGGTGGCCATGTCCAGAGAGGTAGACCAACCTGAGCACACGCACACAGCCGCCGCCGCCATCACTGGGAGAGCACGTGTTGTCGCAGCTCAGGCACACGCATGCACACACAGGCAGACATGTGCACATGCGCTCTATACAGCAAACCCTGCTTGCAGACTAATTAGGCCTCGGCAGTTCCTGAAGCAAATTCATTTTCCCCTTTTCCAGAATAAAATGAGTTCTCTTCCTTTGGGGGTGCTAAACCAGCATGCCAGTGGCTAGAAGCCCGAGATGGGTGATGTGGCTGAAATCATTTCAACTGCTCAAGTCCATGGGCAGAAGCTGACCTCGGGTTGGGGAAACAGCAGTCAGAAGAGGCACAATTCTGGGATCAAGAAATGAGCGCTGGTTTATAGGTACATGCCCGGAAACAGACAGATGAGGCCTGCCTCCTTGTTAGCGCTTTTAAGATGCCCATGGCGGGTTTTAGACATTTAGGAATATGAAAGTAGGTTGGATTCCCACAGTCAGCTGAAGTTTGACAGAGTGATATCACCAGGTTTAACTAGAGCCATTAAGAGGCTCTTCATTATCCCATACTACCGCCACCAAAGTTATCACATGAGCCATAATGCAAGAGAATTTTCATTCCATCAACAAGAGAGGGAGCCAGTCTATCTTTGTCCAAAGGAAATGAGCAGCTCAGCATGAAGCTTGTGAGGAATTGAGTGTACAACACTCCAATAACATCCCCTGCAGGATCTCCTCTGCGCTTTCCGTGGCTAAGCAGAGGCAACTTCACGGGAGCAATCTGCCGGGGTACCTGGTTTGCAAGAGCACTAGCTCAGAGAGCAACCAAAAGGCCAGTTGACGACAGAGGACCCTCAGAGAGACCTGCATTCCCTAGGGCTTAAGTATTAAGCCCCAAAGAAATCAAGGTCTAGGCCATTCTCCTGGTGTTCAGCAATCTCATTTATTATTTCTCTACAAAGATCCACCACTCAATCTCGTCGGTATCACCTGTGCCTGATTCATATTCTCCCGCTCAGTAAGCTGGCCTGGTTTGAAATGGGTTTCTCTTCCCCTGCCGGTGCATGCTTTGCATCCTCACAATGACAGCTGGTAAATTGCGAGACCCCCTCCGCTGGACTCTTCCCACGCCACGTACTTACGCTCCTCGGAATGACTTGTTCATCAAGTGTTCTGCTGGCGAGCCTTTTCCTCTTCGATTAAAGCTGAGAGAAAGGATCAAGTTTTCTATTTCCGTTGCACTTCTTGTGGCGTGCTCACAGGGGAGACACCCAGGTTAGATGGACTGATGGACCTGGTAGCTCTAGAGTTGGAGTTAGATGACCCAGCAACACCCCCCCCACCACGCACCAAGCAAAAAATTGCACCTGCCCCTCCTGCAGACGTTCCTGGCATCTTATAACTCGCCCAAAGCCGGATTTATTGCTCCCGCTGTAAAGTGTATCTTCTCTAAGCCTCACTTAAAAGCTACCACTTGGCAGAAGATCAAGTTAGAAGTGCAGGATAGCGGGTGATGGCGGGGACAGGGAGGGGTGGGGCGGGTAGGGTGGAGCAAATAATTGAAGCTCCGAGAGTTACCAGCTCAATATTTAACCTAACTGGTAATTTGCTGTGACAATTATACCACGAACAGAACACGACTAACTATGCAAGAATGCTGCTCTCTAATTAAGAGGGCTCTCCTTGTCCTAGTCACCGGCACTTTAATAACCCACGAAATGAGTCTTGGCTCTGGGAGCTAAAGGTTCCATTAGGAGCACACGCAGCATATGACTGTGCACGTAGGCTGTGATGCTGCCCAGTTAAGCCTGCTAACACCTTCAATTCGCCCTCAGATAGAGCCCAGAGAGCGCGGCTCAGGCCCTCACGCCATGAGCCCCCGTTTGACTGACAGGCATCTTCCCGGAAAGCCTGTCCGTGCCTATACTGCAAATGGACCTGCTTTTCCACAGCTAGGCTTTCAACCAGGATGGCTTGGCGGAGGTCTGATCCTTAGAGTAACTTAATAAGGATTTTTACAAAAGTCCACAGGAACAAACCTCCTGAAATTGTGAGAGGGATGGGAACACAAGCCAACACCCCAACTGCTGGTCTAACTCTTGATACGAGACAAAAGAATACTACTATCTTGGCTATAAAGGAGGATGCTACCATCATGGGAGTCTTGACACAAGGCTACACTAGGCAAACCATGTTCTTTTTCTTTTCTTAATTAGTGGTTCCTTTATGGAAGGCTTGCTGCTTGGACAGCCCATTAGAAGCCCATTGTTTATGGAGATGTACCTTATAAACCTATTTAAATATAAATATATAAATACATGGTGCAGGGGGCCCGTGGAAGTGGTGATGGGAGCGGAAAGCATCACGGCAGCAGCTGCAGAAGCCCAGCCCTGCACTCCAGGCCTGCGTGCAGAGAGCTCTGCGTCCCTAGGCAAGTCCGCAAGCCTCCAAAATTTTAGGCCAATAGAAATGACCTCTGCACCACAGCTGACTGAAGATATAAATAAATCTCGACATGAGCAGCAGTGTCAATGGTGAGCGGGGATGAGAGGCCGATCGGAGCTTCATTTTTTAAAGTGGATTCTGGATCCACCTCAGGGCAGGGCATTCATGAGTACAGAGTCGCGGTTCCCTGCAGTGAACGCTCCTGTTTTCACAGGCACCAGCCCATCGGTTACCTAACCACCGAAAGGAAGCTGCACCACACACAAGTTAAATATAGGCTGGGTTATCTGCATTTTACAAGCTCCAAGCGAGCTATCTGAAGAAGCTGTCATTTTTAATGATGGCACAAACTTCCAATTACCAACTGGGTAATCCACTAGGGAGCAGGTAGTTTTGGGAGAACGGCTCACTATTATTAAAAGTTTACACAATCACTTTTGAGTTGACTATAAATATTTCACACGAGGCGGGTGGGATTAGGTTTTTTGGGTGGTTTACTCAAGGCTGCAACAAATTCGGTGTTCTCTCGAGATTTATCAACAGCTGTGGGGCAGTAGGGTCTCAAGGACACAGCTCTGAAGAGTCTGGCAAAAGGGTAGGAAACGGCCAGGTGGTTAGATGATTCCAAGTCTCAAATATACTCCCAAAGTCAGCACCAAGACACAGCTCCAGTGACAAGTCACCTAGGGCCTAGGGACAGTTAATATAAATAAGGACCACTTAGGCTACCCATGGACAAGCACTCTTTACACAGGGGCCATATACCTTCAGCACCTTCTATTCAACATGGCATCTACGCAGCTTCCTGTCAATAGCCAGTGCGGAGTGAGTTAGGTGTGGCACATGCTTTTCCGTGTAGACAGACGGTCCGTGACCCGAAATCAAGTCTGCAGCTTTTCTTAACCCATTGCCCCTCCCCCACCCCCAAGTTCTTGCTGATGATCCCAGTCCCCAGGGACCTGGACATCTACTCAATTTGGACTCGACTGTGATGACCAGAGTCCTGCTCCAAACTGACCAGAGTTCTTGGGGACAGGGAATCTTGATTTAGCTGGGTGTGATATGGCACATCTGTCATCTCCACACCGGGGAGGCAGAGGCCGGAAACCAGTTACAAGGCCAGGTAAGGCTACATTGCAAGAAGCTGTCTCAAAACCAAAAACAGCTATCTTGATCTAAATAAATCCTCTCAGAGGGTGTATACCTCAGCAGATGTGTGGCAGGCAGGTGTGAGGCCTTGGGTTTGATCCCTAGGATCCAGAACAGCAGGCAGGAGGCTAAAGGCGGTAAAGAAGACACTGACACTCCCCTTTGCTCCATTACTTAATCAGAACCACCATCACAAATATAACTTGGAGATTTAAGAATCACTAATAGCTTTAAAGAACGAGGCTGACTTATAAAGCAGGTCAAATGCGTTCTTGGGAGGCCGTTTCTCCCATAATGGCAGAAAATCCAGGTTAAGGCCTCTGTGGCTGCCACCTATGTCCGAGAACTAAGTGGGATGAAATAAATCATGGAGGGCTCCAATGCCTCTCTCCCCATCCTCCTGCATTAATCTACCTGCGTCTAAGGATCTGCTCAAATTGCCCGCCCGCCCGCCAGCCCGCCTGTGATGGGGCACAGGCTTAGACAGACTCACTGCCAGACCAGAGCAACGGAGAACCTCGTGGAGCAAGACGTCCCTGAACGGACGGACGGACGGACCTTCAGGGCTGCAAAGCATTGCTCGGGCCCATCAGAACTCAGGCTTATGCTAACGAGCCAAAAAGTAGAAGCAGCTGGCAAGAATGATTCAGTCCTATAAATTTACACATCCACACAGCCAAACCCACTTGAAGCAATGCAGATCCACTTTTATTGAAATAGAAGAAGAAAAAAAAAAGGCCTATTCTGGAGTGCTGAGAATGTTACAGAAGGACATAAGATAACCTAACCTCATGTTGTTTTTAATGTGGTGTTAAGGAGAGAACCCAGGGCCTATGCGTGCCTGCAAGGCTCCATCACCAAACCGTATTCACAACTCCAATTTTTTTTTGTTTTGTTTTTTCAAGGCAGGGTTTCTCTGCGTAGCTTTGCACCTTTCCTTCCCTGGAGCTCACTTGGTAGCCCAGGCTGGCCTCAAACTCACAGAGATCCGCCTGGCTTTGCCTCCCGAGTGCTGGGATTAAAGGCGTGCGCCACCACTGCCCGGCCCACAACTCCAATTTATACACACCCGTGTGCTGGTTTGAATAAGGAATGTCCCGTAAAACCTCATGTATCTGCACACTTGGCGCCTGGCTGGTGGACCCTTTACCGGGTAGTCTTGCAGGAGGAAGTACGTCACTGGGTGTGGGCTTGGGGAGTTCACAGCTCTGCTCTGCTTCCACTCAGCTCCCTGCTTCCTGTGTGCAGCTGAGATGTGATCTCTTAGCTTCCCGCTTCGGCGGCCATGTTTTCCCTGCCATGATGGACATCTGGCCCTCTAGAACCGGCAGCCAAAACAAACCCGTACTCAAGTTGCTTTTGGTCATGGTGTTTTATCACAGCGGTGGGAAAAGTAACACAAATACAAAGCAGTGGCCAGCTAGGCAAGTGGTTATTGCTGGCTGTTAGGATTATGGGTGACTTTGGTCATTTTCTTTTCTTCCTTCCTTCTTTCTTTCTCTTAGAGGAAGCAATTCTTTCCAGTCATGCTTTATAAAATCAGTGGCTTATAAAGGCTACTACCTACAGAGTGGATTAAGACTAAGGTTTCCAAACCATGTTAGGTAGGAAGAAAAAGGGAAAGGAGACACACACACACACACACACACACACACACACACACACACACCTAGTAGGGGAAGGACAGTCCTTCTAACAGGTGCCGAGGAGGGAGAGGAACTGGTTTTTTTCTATAAATAAATCTTTGGCAGGCAGATCACTACAGAAACACAAGTCAATATAAACCTTTAGACATGGGGCTGCCAAACTTCACTTTTCGACAGTATATTAATTATGTAGTCAATAGCGATGGGTTTCATTCGTGTATTAAATACCACGATCAATATTATTTATACTTTTCAAAGACAGGCCACTCAGGAGAGGAAAAAATGGTGGGGGAAGGAAGGGGGGGACCCTTTGACCCTGAAGTTCACAAATGTCAGAACAGCACACTGGAGATTAGCAAGGCTTTAATGGAGGGCATAAAACACTGGAAATATGGACAGAAATCAGATCAGTACCTTCCGTTTTCTGCCTCTTATACAATGAGACTGGAGGGGATTCAGGAACTATTTAAAACAAAGGCAAGATGATTAGACACTCCCACCCCCAACTGCTTACCGCTTGTTCGCGGTGGACAAAAACTAGGAATTGATCGCTAACTGATAGATGAAAATCAGAACACAAACAGCCTTTCCAGATAAACTGTCCAAGCAAGCCAAGGAGCTGTGGGTCAGAATCTACTTTGGCAGGTCCTTCGGGACCTGGACTCTCACAGGCGTTAACAGTGGAACCACTTTCTGAGACCACTCCGCTGGTGATCTGATTTTTTTAGTAGGGATTCTGTTAAGACATCATCCCACGAGGGAGTCCATCCCTCCCACCCCCCATGGAGCTCTGTGCTTCTCATGTTAGCTGTGCAGATGTGTTAGATTTATTGGAGTGGCCCGGTGAGTCATCGCCCTCAGGCTGCATGGCTGCTGACCGGCAGTCCTGCCCCGGGAAGAGGAGGAAATGCTGGGAGTAGGCAATACGAAAGACTGGTTACTGGACTGAAGGCTAGATCACCATCTCTAACCTGCAATTTGTCAATCTCCAACAGTGCTGAAGACTGTGATTTTCTAGTCAGCGCTTTATAAGCAAGGTCAGAAAGAAAGGGCCTCCACAGAAATTGTCAAGGCTTCAGCCAGAGCATCAAGCGCAACTCAATTCCTGTCTCTTGAGATGAGGGAAAGGTAAGGAAGTCTGTGTCCCTGAAATCAAAGTCTGTCTGTCTGTCTGTTCTCAGCAAGGCCAGCCATTTGCCTAGGGCTGTTAGTCCCTTCCAAAAGAAAACATCGAAGAGCCAGGAATGTGGTGCAGGATTGTAATGTCAGCAGCTGGAGACAGAAGCAGGAGGATCATGACTTCAAGGCCAGCCTGGGCTATACAAAGAGCTTGAAGCTACCCACATAAAGACTCTGCCCCAGCAAAACAAGACAAGCCAGGGACAGTGGCAGAAGCCTGTGTTTCTAGTGTGTGAGAGGCCAAGGAAGGAAACTCAAGCCTGAGACCTGCCTGGGCTACATAGGGAAGATCATATTTCAAAAGCAGGCCAGCTAAGGAGAAAACAGGGCGTGGTTGTCAATTTAAAGCCACATGACTGGATTTGGGATAACTTTGGAGACTGTCTGTGAGGACCTCTCCAGAGATTTAACTGAGGAAAGACTCACTCTGAGTATGAGTGGCACTCATGGCCCAGGGCTCCAGACTGAATAAAAAAAGAAAGAGGAAAGAAAAGAAAGTTCAGTTGGCAAAGTGTTTCCAAGTGTTAGAACCCAGCCCGATCCCCACAACCCGCATTAAAAAGCACTGGGGTTCGGAAACCGGAGGATCCCTGGCATGTGCTGGCCATTCTGTCTGTCTGTCTGTCTGTCTCTCTCTCTCTCTCTCACACACACACACACACACACACACACACACACACACACACACACACACACACGCACGGGGGTTGAAAGAGTGGCTTCCTGACAACAGATGTCATGTGACCAGCTGCCTCACACACAACACAGCCAGAGCTGTCCCACCCTCTCCACCACGGTAGATGGTACCCTCAAACTGTGAGCCAGAAGAAGCCATTCCTCCCGTAAGCTGCTTTTGATGCTATTTTGCCATAGCAACAAGAAAAGCACTGGAAACACTGGGTGCCTGCCATGACCCTGGGCCCCACCAAGTCACCACAAGCTTAGGGGCGCACGTGAAAAGTCAGGCCTGCAGCTGCAGGGGGACTGCGATGCTGCCTGGATCCTGGCAGAGATGTGCAGCAAATGCCAAGAGGTGGGCTGCGGCAACCAGATAGATAATTAATATGATTAGGAACACACAGAGCAAGCATGCTCTTGCCGAATGAAAAGCCTAGTAGCATAATTACTGTTTTCTCCCTCGCTCACTGTCTACACATTTCAAAGCCTGCTTGGTGTTGGGCTGCTGTGTAAACATCAATAAAGCCCCAAAGTGCCAGATCGTCAGCATTCTTGGGCACAATGGCTTTTCCTTTTCTGTTTTCACTCCTTTAAAGATGCATTTCAGGGGTGCTAACATTAGTAAGAGTTATCTCCAGGCCTCAGCCTAATCTGAGTTTGTAATGAGTTAACATCTCTCCCTAGTGATTATTTATTACGAAGGCTAATTAATTGCTTTCCAGTTACAAGAACCCTTTACAGTCAAAGAAAGTCGGATTCACAAGCAAAGATATACCGTTTATTCAAACAAAGCAAGGGAAACAAAGGAATTCTCTCTAAAATTTTCCCTATTTACCACAGCTTTAATCAAAAATGAAATATATGAATGCAAGAAAAAAAAAATGTACAGGTAAAGATGGCGCATCCAGCCACCAAATGCAACATTAATTGAAGTGAAAACTCAAGCAATGCTTTGTAGTTGCCTGGATGTCCCTAGGGGACAGCAAGTCAATGCTTATCAGCCGTCCTCAGAAGAGACAATTTTGATTAATATCAGACCCATCTGACTCAGTCTATTAAATCTATTAAACCCCGAAGGAAGGATGGTCTTCAGATATTAACGATAGGCTTTTTATTAATAATTCTACCCTTTTGCTATTCCAAGCATTAATGACCATGTGGTACCTCTGCAAAGAGTAATAAGCCTTTGATTCCAGGGAGACACGCCCCCTAAACACCTGGATTCTCCCCCAGTCTCACTCCCCCCAGGAGGAACCTAAGACACTAAGGTACCACCACTGGAAAAGCAAACCCCAAGTTACATAATTCATCTCATTATCCAAACGAAGTAGGGTCGATTACTTGTGACATAATTCCTGTTTGAAGATAACAAAATCTTAGTAAATCCGACAAAAGCCTGAAGATGGGGGAGGGGCTGGTGCTATGCTACCTCTAGGCCCGCTGAGTGCCGGCTGACGGTTTATACACAGCCCTCTGAGCACACTGTCTTTTGGCGACCCATGAGTCCCAAGAGGGGCCTGGACAGGCTGCCAGTGTCCCCTAGGGGCTCTGCACTGTGAGGCTGTCACAGGGTTGTCACACGGGTGGGAAGAAAGCCATTCTACTTCAGTTCTTTACTCTCCAGCTCTGGCCATCAGTACGTGCTCACATCACATGTTCCTCTTGATGTTCATGATCAGCCTTTTGGCATAATCTCTGTAGTCGATGGGCTTCACGTCCATCACAGTGGCCTTAATTCGAGATTCATCCTTTGAAAAGAAGAGCCTTTTGTGAGTGGTACAGCCTGGCATGGAGCAGTGGAGATAACCTCCTTTGCTCCAGTGGCTTCAATGAGTCCAGCAGGAAGAAGGGGAATTTAGAAATTCCCAGAGAAAGTGCTATGAAAATCTGGAGATGGTGGGTCAGTGGGCAGATCTCCTTCTAAGACCCTCTGCCCATCCTCGGCACCATGTGCTCAGACCTAGCATCCCACTGAAGTAGACTCTAGGCTCTACTGTCTTTATATGGGTGCAGTGGGGGCCCAGGGCAGTTAGCTAACCCGCCCTAAAAGCTCACTTTCATCCAGAAAAAGCACCCGCAGCAGCAGGCTTCTGCTTCAGCTCAGGGCAAGGTTGCCGGTCTGCCCTTCACCATCCCTGTCCATACCACGAGGAGAGAGAATAACCCCACAGTCTTCCTTAACCCACCCAACTTCTTGACACTGTATCCCACCAACGTTCCGTTACCACAACCACCCAATAGCTAAGTTGAAGGTAATTTAGAATGTGTGAACTTGGTGGATGCAGGAGAGTTGGCAGAATTCTCATTCGGCTTGTCTCCAGGAACTAAACAGCACCTCTGAGGCAGAACAGGGTGACACCCAGCAGCACACAAGTCGGGGTGGGGGTGGGGGTGGGGTCATGTGTCTACATGCTTAGTAATTACTAAATGAGCTGACATTTATAAGGATGGAGTCAGACCGCCTGGGTTAGAATCTTGGTTCTGCTCCATGACGGTAGGTTCAGAGACTCCTTCTCTATATGCCTACATCTAGGTGCTACAGGATCAAGAGATAATAGATGGACAGGGGCCAGGACAGTGACTGTCCAGTAAATGATCTTTATTACAACTATGCAACTCTATGACATTAGGGTTAATTTAAAGACTCATCGAAGTACTTTTACCTGCATGTGGTATCTGTTTAATATACTGATTTTTAGAACCTAAATTGTGGGAAACAAGAGTCCACACACATCATTTTCTTAAGGCTGTAATAGAAAAGACCATACTATCTTCTCCCCAGTGTTCAGACAAGATGGCAAACCTGAGGCGCCTCCCAAACCTGCACACAAGTTGGTAACAGCACCCAAGTGCAGGCAGATTCCATGAGCGTGCAGGCCAGAGGTCTCGAACCTGTGGGTAATTCCCTGTCACTAACACTGAAGCGCTGCTGTGGTCAGCAAACAGGGACTTCCCATCACAGCCTTCCACCCCAGTAACCTTACTTACATTGTAGGTCTCCAGCTTGACCCTGATTCTGAACGTAAATGATCGGAAGTTGGCATTCTGGAAAACCTCTTCAAACGCCTGCTCGTTCTGTAAAACAATACATGGCAACTGCTGGAGAATCCTATTAGACGGCTGAAAATACCGAGAACTATCACCCCGGAGGGTTGCAATTTCTTAGGAATGACTAATTTGTAGGTGTTTCATTACATAAAACTGTTTAAGTAGACTTTTACTAAAAACACTTTACTTAGGAGTACTGTTTTCCCTTCAGTATTTACAGAGGACTGGACCTGGGAACCTACCTCTATCAGACACTGAATTCCAGGGATATTCAAGTTCCTTATGTAAAAAGGTTGTTTACACAGAACCCATGCACACCCTCCTGTATGCTGTGAATCTCCTGTAGATTACTCCTAATACCAAATGTAAATATCATGTGAGCATTACATGGCTTGGTTGGTGGACAATGATAAGGAAACATAATCTGCACATGGTCAATAAATGTGCAATTTATCCCCCAAATATTTCTGATCCCTAGCTGGCTGACTGCGTGGAACTGAGAACAGACTTTATTAAATCCACAGAAGCAGAACCCTGGCCGCTGGTGCCAGGGACGGGAGGAGCGGAGAACGCCGCTCAGGGGGACAGGGGGACAGGGAAAGATGGAAAGATGTGGACGACGGGGCCTGAGACTGTGAATGTGGTAATGCCACCATGTACTTCAAGATGGTTCCAACAGAAAAAGAAAAACAACACATAATGGTATTTTTATGTTCATTTTGCCGCAATTAAGAATTTTTAAATATTCTTAGGAAACACAATTAAGATCTGGAATACTTGTGGGGGAAGAAACCTGAGACCCAGCAGCTCACTGTGCATTAAGAAGTGGGTAGGGGAGGCTGGAGAGATATCCTAGTGGCTAGAGTACATATTGCTCTTGAGAAGTCAAAAGTCCCCTTCCTGGCACCCTTATGGTAGCTCACAGCCACCTGTAACTCCAGTTCCAGGGGATCTGATGCCCTTCCTGGCCTCCTCACGTACCAGGCAGGAAAGTGGTCCACATATATACATGTAGGTAAAACACTCACACACAAATATAATAAAAATAGTGAGTGGGTAGTGGTGGCGCACGCCTTTAATTCCAGCACTAGGGAGGCAGATGCAGGCAGATCTCTTGAGTTCAAGGCCAGCCTGGTCTACAAAGAGAGTTCCATGACAGCCAGGGCCATTACAGAGGAACCCTGTCTCAAAAAACCATAACAAACAAACAAACAATTAAAATAAAATAAAATTGAGTAGGAGCTGGGCCTGGTAGCACAAGTCCTTAACTCCAGCACTGGAGAAGCAGGTGGATATTTGTGAGTCTCAGGACTATATTAAGAACTCAGTCTCAAATTTAAAAAATAACAATTAACATTAATAATAATAATAATAATAAAAACACTAAAATAATTAGAAAAGGCTGGGAAAGCTAGGCATGGCACCCCATGCTTGCAATCACAGTATTCTGGAGGCCAAGGCTAGAGGACTATAATGAGCATGAAGCCAGCATCAGCTACATGGGCTGGCATAGACCTGGAGTGATACCCTATCTCAAAATAAAACAAGAGAATTGGACGGGAAAAGCATTACGAAGAAACACGTTCATTTCAGCCTCTGCAGCTACTGCCATGTGGAGCAGGTGGAGGAGATGGGTGGAGTGGGCGATGCCAGGAGGCGGCTGGAGGATGCCTTCCTCTTCTCACACTCCTTGAATGCTATCTGATTTGGTTAATGTAATCTTTTTAAAAGCTGGTTTTTTACTTTGGGGTATGGTGGGGTGATATAACCGGGACGCTCAGCCCTCCTCTGTTTTTAACTAAGTTGCCCAGTTGGTCTTTAACTTGGCATTCTCCTGCCTCAGACTGCTGAGGCATAAAACACATGAACTTAAAACTTTACATAAAACTAACAGTTCATATAAGCTAAGTACCCCTGTAGGTCACACGGGTATGAAAATAGCTTTATCACACAGATTTCTTCTTGAAGATGTTATTTGAGAAAAAAAAGTATTCCTTGGACTTTCAACATATAAACAAAATAATGGGTTAAATCTTCAAAAACTTGAGCTGGATGCCATTAGTCTTTAGGGCTAAGGGAAGCATGGATGCACACTCCCAGAGCACCATGGTTCCTGAGGGAAGTCCTGTATGTCCTCATTCACCAGCTAAGAACAGTCAACTATAATAAGCTCATAAAAATCCTGAAAGGCTGCCCGGAGCCTGAAAATCTGATATGAAAATAGAGGACCAGGCAAAACAGATAAAAGACTATTGCACTTTAAAAGTCAATTCCACTTATTTCTGTAAAAGGACTTCGTGGGCCTATTTTCAGAGACCTCATGGATAATTTAAAAAGGAGGCAAGGGCAGAACCCAACAGAACCGAGGACAGAAAGAGGAAGAAAAGCACATCAAAACAAATAGCAATTCTTTTTCTTTGTGGCCTTTACAAGTGTCCAACCAACATGGAGGAAATGGAGGGGAAGAGGACACTGTTAGACAGATGCCAGTTTCCACGGCCCTGAAGGTACGGCTCTTACTAGTCTTGAACTCAGCAAGTATCTTTATGTTTGGCAAAATCAGTAACCCATTCTCTGCATTAAATAAATCGAATGCATAAAAAGGCAAACTAGTAAAGGTGAAATAAGTTGTTTTTTTTTAATGTTTGTTTTTACTGTGTGGGTGTGCATGCCGCAGGTGCACACGGAGGTCGGAGGCCGACTTTATGGAGTTGGTTCTCCCTCCAGCTTCCTTCACAGGGGTCCTCAGGCTTGCATGGCAAGGGCTTTGCTCACTGAGCCATCTCAAGGGTCCCAACTCATTCACACACACACATATATAATTTTTTTTTTTTTTTTTGAGACAGGGTCTTGCTATGCAGTCCAGGCTATCCTTGTACTCACTACGTAAACTAGCTTGGCCTGGAACTCTGGTGATCCTCCTGCCTCAGCCCAAGTGCTGGGACAACAGGCAGGAATCATCAGCATGGCATGTAAAGTGAACTTTAAAACAAAGTCACTTTGTAAGAATCCCACCTGACAACCTGAAATACAAGTACCCTGGATGTGCACTTACTCCAAGGTCTGACTCAACTTTCCTAAAAGGTGTTTATTAGGTTAAAAAGCACAGCCAAACTTTGAGTTATTTCCAAAGACACCTGGTAGCTCTAGACTGCAGCACCCCAGCTCTGATGTGTAGATACAGTGACAGGGACACATGTGGTTTGAGCTTCTGTGGAAAGCTGTTTCATGTTCCCCGATTCGTTACCCCGGTGAGACGCCCAGTACCAGAACTCATACACAACACCCGAACAAGCAAGCAGTAAACAGCTCAGCGGCGTACCACGTGCACTATCACAGTATTAATAAACCCGTGCCAACCTTCTCTTTCAGCTCCCCCAGGTAGGCAGTGTTCTGTCCAAGGATAGCCTCCGCAGACTCCTGGAAACACGTCACCCACTGATTCTCTTGAAAATCTGCAATGTTCACCTAAAAAACACAACTCTCTATTATTTCGGCCAATAAGTAACAAAAGGAAGATACACCAAGGAGATGACCTTTTCCTGTTTCCAAGGGAAAAAGACACTGCCATCACACACACACAGCCCCCAATTTTCATTGCTTCAACTGGATGGTTTCCCCTTACATGAAGAAGCATCCCGGGCTGGAGGGATGGCTCAGAGGTTAAGAACACTGGCTGCTCTTTCAGAGGTCCTGAGTTCAATTCCCAGCACCCATATGGTGGCTCACAACAATCTGTAATGATGCCCTCTTCTGGCCTGCAGGCAAACATGCTGTATATGTAATAAATAAATAAATCTTTAAAAAAAAAAAAAAAAAGAAGCATCCCGTTTCAGCCACCCTGTTGTTCACTGTTAGTACAATATCCAACAAATCACATGAGACTGTGCTCTCCGTCTAAATGCCAATGGCTTTGCCCCGGAAGTTTCGAATGAGCTCCCAACAGTGAGAGTGAGCTCGTCTCATTCTATTTTACTTTCTTATTCTCTCTCTCTCCACACCTGGCATCTTTTGGATTTTTGAGACACATATAAGGCCACCCAATCTGACCTCAAACTTGCTATGTAGTCAAAGCTGGCCTTGAACTCTCCTCCCATACACACAAGTGCTGAGTAGACATATGCCACCATGCTCAGCTATTTAAAAAAAAAAAACCACAAAGCCTAATTGTGCAGTCTAAGAAGGCCCAACTTACAATCTTCCTGCCTCAGCCTCCCAAGGGCCGAGTTCACATTTACACTTTTTTTTTTTTTAAATTTACAGTGTGTGTTGCATTATGTGTATGTGGTAGAGGCCGGAGGAGACTGACACTGTCTTCTACTGTTGCTGTCCACATCGTCTTTTGAGTCAGGGTCTCTCACTGAACAGAGCTCAGGAACTGGCTAGGCTGATGTCCAGTGAGCTCCAGGACCGAACTAAACCTGCACCCAGTCCTCATCCTGACGGTGTTCTTTTTGGTTTTCTTTTCTCACCCTAGCTCTGTACCCACTTCACTGGCAGCCACATCCCCACCCCCAAATTCTTTTTGCTTTGTTTTTTCTTTCTTTCGTTCGTTCGTTCGTTCGTTCGTTCGTTCGTTCGTTCGTTCGTTCGTTCGTTCGTTCATTCATTCATTCATTTTGGGGCATGGTTTCTCTGTGTAGCCTTGGTTGTCCTGAACTCAGAGATCCACCTGCCTCTGCCTCTAGTGATGGGATTAAAGGTGTGCGCCATCACTGCCTGGCTGTTTTGTTTTATTTCTTTGAGACCTGATCTCCTGTAGCCCAAGCTAGCCAGTTGGCCTTGAACTTGCTATGTAGTTGAGGATGACCCTGAATGTCTAATCCTCCTGTCTCCACCTACAAGTACGAGGATTACAGACATGTGCTACAAACCCAGCCTAAAAGCTGTAAATTCTAAGGTCTTTGTAGTCTTCTACTCACTACAGTGGCTCTTCACTAAAGGAAGTAACACAGAACAGAGGGGCATTTAAGCTGACTCCAACTTTACAAAGTAAACACCTTCACACAGCTGTAATACTGCTGATTATTGCTTCAGAATAAATTCCCTGTAGGTGGCTTCTGTATCAGGAAATAGGAACATTTTTAAGGCTGTGGCACATTACTGTCAAATCAAACCAAAGCCGAGTAAAGAGCAACAATCGTACCCGGGCACACTCCTCTAAAAAAACAGAGTATCCGTAAGAAAAATACCACAGGCGCTGGTTGTATAGATACAATTACTGCTCTCCAGAAATGCAATTTCAAATTCATTCATCTTCACAACAGTAAGGAGGCAAGCGCCAGGAACACTGTGACCACACAGCATCACAGAGGGCTGCCATTCGTCAGGGCAGCTCAATGCAACTTTTGGGCATAAGAAGCTTCAGGAGTATGAATAGTGCTGCTCAGCCGGGGCAAAGGCCCTACTTCCTTATTTACAGGGCAGCAGTAAGCTCCCTCACATGAACAGTGAGTTCCTTATCACGACCCACCTGGGTTCTATCGTAACCCCTCACCCCACCCCCACCCCTGGGTCTTGCCCGTGACAGCCAATCAATGAACACAATAAGGCTTCTCACTAACCATTCTACTCACCGACAAGATCATGCGGTATTTGAAGTTGGGGAACTCCCGGTCACACTTCTCACAGCGGTACAACCCATTCTGCTGGTCAATCACCTTCTTATTGCAGTCCTGGGTTGGGCAGGCCTGGTACATACAGTTCTCTTTTCGAAGAAACACCACCGTCGCCACGGTGCTGAAGTAGTCCGCCTACAGGAGAAAAGGATCACGAGACCCGAATCAGCAAGGTACACTGGGGCCTGGAAGAGGCCACTCGAGGCTGCCCTTACCTGCAAGTGGCAAGTGCACGTGTACTCTAGTTCCCATGCTCACAGACCGGTCACGGAGAATTGTTCACTCTGTGTTTGCTACATGCAAACCCACAGAGGCAATAAACCAGCACTCAGGCACTTTATATATACAGTGTTCTGCCTGCAGGCCAGAAGAGGGCACCAGATCTTTTTATAGATGGCTGTGAGCCACCATGTGGTTGTTGGGAATTGAACTCAGGATCTCTGGAAGAGCAACCAGTGCTCTTAACCTCTGAGCTGTCTCTCCAGCCCCACATTTTTTTTTTTTTAAGGCAGCATCTCACTAGCTAGCCTTGAACTCAAGAGATCTACCTGCCTCTGTCTCCAGAGTGTTGAGCCACCACACCTGGCCACATAATTCATTTTTATTTATGATTATTATTTGTTATATATGTGTATCTCCATGTGTATGATGATCACATGTATACTATTGCAGGTGAACACGTGCCATGGTGTGCTTGTGGAGACCAGAGGACAACTTTCAGGAGTCAGTTCTCTCCTTCCACTGTGGTTCTAGGGAACTCAGGTTTCCAGGATAGCAGGACAAGTGCCTTTAAACCTTTGACAGCCAAGTATCTTGCCAGCACATAGTACTTTAACAATGTACGTATTTCTTTTGTGTGTCTATGTATGTTTTGTATGATGTGCGTGCAGGTCAGAGGACAACTCGTGGGAGCTGGTGTTCTTCCTTCACCATGTGTCCTGCCGGGCTGGGGTCAGGCATGCTGACCCACTGAGTCACCTTGCTGGCCAAGCACACCGTTCTATACAATGACAGTGGTTTCTACCCCTATTTGAAGGGATCAGTGAGCTTTTCCTGTAACAAGCCAGAGAAAAACTTCAGGCCCAACAAGCCCTTGAGTCAGTCTCTCCTGGCACACTCCTCAACCTGCTGCTGCGGGGAAGACAACAGACAATAACATGAAATGGAAGATGATCCAATAAAAAACCATTTTTTTTTTTTTGAGACAGGGTTTCTCTGTGTAGCCCTGGCTGTCACTGTGTAGACCTAGAACTCACTCTGTAGATCAGGCTGGCCTCAAACTCAGAGATCCACCTGCCTCTGCCTCCAATATTAAAGTCATGCACCATCACCACCCAGCACAATAAAATTTTATTGACAATGACAGACAGTGAGGAGTTCACAGCCTTGGCCAGCAACTCCTGGACTGAATAAAGTTCAAGAGAATGCCTAAGTACCCATGACCAAGACCTTGTAAACAGAGGTGTCCCTGGTAAGGAACGCAGAAGGACTAAGTCAGGTGAAGGGCTCTGTATACCTGCTTTCCTCTGGACCCCACACAGACGCTCTCACGTGGTCCATGTTCTTTGTTCAGGTTCAATGTCAAGTAACTGCAGAAGCCAGGTATACCCTGAATTCAGAGCTAGGCTTCCAACCACTGGGCTTTTTTAAAAATTAGTTCTAGCTATCCTGGAACTCTCTCTACAGACCAGGCTAGCCTCGAACTCAAAGATCCACTTGCCTCTGCTGCCCATGTGTTGAGATTAAAGGCATTTGCCATCATACCTGGCTCACACTGGATCTACTTGATGTCTCAGACCAGAGGGACAAAACAATGTGGCCATTTAAAAAGACTGTGCTAGTGCCTAGTTCAGAGAGCTTTAGGGCTGCGGGGGGAAGCTCAGTGGAAGAGCTGGCCTAGCATGCACGAGGTGTGGGGTTAACCCTCAGCTCCACAGAACTGAATACATAAGAAGGCTTGAGGGGTGGAGAGATGACCAGCCGTTAAGAGCACTGGTCGCTTTTGCAGAGGACCCAAGTTCAGTTCCCCAGCACCCACACGGTGGCTCTCCACCATCTATAACTCCAGTCTAGGGCATCTGATGCCTTCTTCTGAACCTCTCGGGCATCAGCCACTCATCTGGTTCACATTCAGGGAGAACATTCATACACGTAAAGTAAAAACACTGAGGAGAAGGAAAGCTTAGGCCTATGTGCCGGGGTTCAAGGGTGAAGGCACCTGCTGCCAAGCCGGATGACGTGAGTCTGGTCCCTGGGACCCACAGGGAGAGCTGAGTTTGAGTTCTATACATTGCAGTGGAAAATGCATGCCCTACTCCCAAATAAAACATAACTTAAAAAAATTGTCAAGAGAAGCTGTAGAGAAATAAATCTTAGGAGAACACCTAAAGAGTGTCTCTGTATTTCCAGGTCAGAGGCAGACTCAAAGCCTGAGCCGCAGACAGGTGTCCTGTATGCTCCGTTCTGACCGCACACTGTCTGTCTTTAGTTTCAGAGAGCCACTGGGTGACAAGGGAGACAGAAGCCAGCCAGTGTTTAATTCTCAAGCTGTTCCGTAATAGTATTATAAGTTGCTGTGGATGACAATGACGGATCGCGTGCACAGCGAGACGCGACAGTGAGGAAGAAAACCCACACTGTATATGACGACAATAAAGCGCAGCAGCGAGTGATATTTAGGGACACAATAGAAATAAATGATTCAAATATCCAACAGAACGCAGGTTAGGCCAAGGGAGGAAGACGATCATTAAGTAAACACTGAAATAGAAGCTGCAACGAAAGGCAAACACCTGAGCCCGTCCTTGGCAGGAGAGCAGTGGCTCTCCACCTACGACTCAGGCTGAAACACAGAGGAGCTGCCTGATGCCGGACAGCCTCAATTACACTCTGCTCAAAACCCAACACGGACCTGAGGTCAGTTCACACTACACTGCAGAGTCTGGTCATCACCATTTCCTCAGGATCCAGGGACTCTTCCCACTTTTCTGCCTCACACCAGAGGCTACAACACACCCCTCAGCACACACAGCCTCTACACCGGCAGTGACTGAGAGACGCCAACGAGAAGCAGTTAACTGGCGCTCTGGAGCAGGGCTCTGGGGCTACCAAGGCTCTGGGGTCCCAGATGAGAACACAGCCCTGAGCTAGTACCTGAAAGCAGATTTAAAAACACAACCCTCTGTCGCTCGCTTTCTGGTGTTCTGTGAAGTGAGATGTAAGGTACCTTATCACCCTGGCCCAGGTTCTCCGATTTAGCCTCATACAAGGTCTTCCAGTTGGTATTGCTCCCTCCGGCGCCTCCACTCTTGAGGTCAGAGATGGAAACACCGTCTAAGGCTTGTCCTTCTGAGTCGAACCTTAAAAAAAAAAAAAAAAAAGCAATGGTGACAGGAACTTTGCATCCTTCTCAAATGTGCTGTGTGGATATACCAGCCAGGAGCGCTCTACCCTCACCTGGGGCCCGACACACCTTAGTCCACTGAAGAAATGCAATGGCCTTCCTTTTGATCTCACTGGCTTTGATGGACCCCCCCCCCCAGCTTCAGTATAAACAATGCCAAAGAGCCACAGACCCCTTCCCCAAACTGGGCTGCATATCAAACACTGTGACCAAAGTCAGCAACAGAAGAAATACTGGCAGTCCCCGGGCTTCGAGCCTTCACCTCAATCACTGAAATGTATCAGATGAAAAGGGACATTTCTGTTTCATGAGTCAGCCAAAACTGTTTTCATGGCGGAAAATCTTTTAAGCCTAATCAGTCATAGAACTCAACGTACTTCATCAGAAGGCATTATCTGCCTTGTTAGAGATTCGTTTTTTCAGTGAGAATTTGTTTATGCAAATACCAAGGTTAAATTCATTTATATAACATTATTATTAAAACTGACTGCACTCTGTTCAAAGACCAACATGGACCCGAGGTCAGTTCACTACACTGCCGAGCCTCCTGACCATCCACTGGCTACCGTGGAGGAAGAGAGACCAGGCAGAAGGCAGCAAGAACATGCAAGGGGCAGAGCAGTGAGGCTGAGGTTAAAAACATACGAGCAGGGTGCAATGGTGCACGCCTTTAATCCCAGCCTTTGGGAGGCAGAGGCAGGCGGATCTCTGAGTTCCAGGCCAGCCTGGTCTACACAGAGAAACCCTGACTCAAAAAAACACAAATATATCAAACACCCAAGTGGTAGGTAACTGTATGCTAGCCACATACAGAACTGACGCCCTAAAAAGAGACCGCCCAGCCGGGCGTTGGTGGCGCACGCCTTTAATCCCAGCACTCGGGAGGCAGAGCCAGGCAGATCTCTGTGAGTTCGAGGCCAGCCTAGGCTACCAAGTGAGCTCCAGGAAAGGCGCAAAGCTACACAGAGAAACCCTGTCTCAAAAAACCAAAAAAAAAAAAAAAAAGAGACCACCCAGAGTGGCCGCTGCCCTAGGCCACAGGTCGCCACCGTCTGACCATAAGGCAAGCAGCCACATCTGACAGGGGATGGAGTCCATAATCTGCTTCACTACTAGCCGCACAAGTTTACAGTTTCCAAAACTTTACCAAGACATTTGCCACCAAAGACAGCTCATCAGGAGTAAACAGAGCAAGGAGATGGGCAGCCCTTCTTCTAACAAAATTCCACCCCATCAGTGCCAAGATCTAAACGTTGCTAATGTTTGTCTGGGTGGAGTGTGTGCACTGGATTTCTCACAGATCAATGACAGGATATTCTGTTCAGGGGACAGACATGCCTTTCTGTGTTTTCTGTGATCAGTTGCTGACAGTGAAATATGAACACCTTAATGTGGGCATGCAATTAACCTGGAGTTGTGCTCAGAGCCTGGAAGAAAGTCAACCAACAAAAACAAACCAACAACATGATTGTTCCTAGTTAGACTATTATGGGATTCTGTCATATAATGCAATGCTAGCTCTCAGCACAGTTAAATAGATGGATGTAGACAAGGGTGGAGTAGGTGATACAGATACTCCAGGAGATGTTCTATCAAATTATTCTATCAAATATTACTGTTACTGGTGTATATCAAACTCAAAACAAAAATGAGGAGCATAAAATATAAGCTATTTCTTGAGTTCCCTAAACTCTAAGTCACAGCTTCCATGGAAACCGCCCCCTATTCCTCCCCTCCCCCCTCGCAGACTACAGCTATACAAATGACTTAAGCTTGGGCTGGGTAAAGTATTCTCTTTGCCCACATCAATTCTTCACATGACATTCTCAGGATGAAGTGCTCTTCTAAGGCAGAGTTTTAATGCCTTAAAAAACTAGATACGGTGTGGGGATTTTAACAAGCTCTCCTCATCTCTTGAGTGCTTTGGGAATAACGATGTAAGGCCAACAAAAAGCCCATTGTTCCCACCATGCTTTGTACGAGACCAGCGAATACACATCACTGGAGATGTGACCAGCTCCAGAGACTCCACAGAGTGAAAAAGTACATTCTACCCCCACATCAGCTGCCCACAGCTCAAACCTAGGAGCAAAAGATGCTCTGGACACATTCCTCCAGCGTGCAGCTGCTAAAGCCTTGCCGTACCCGGCTTTCGGGGATCAAGGTCAGCACGCAGTACTTACATTCTAATTGCTTTCTCTGACTCTCTAGGTTCATCGGGGATTATGGGTTTGTCAGTTTAAGGGCTTCAGGCCACCATCTCAGAAGGCATAATGCCTCCAAGAAATACAGGAACCACTGCACTCCATAGCAAAGGCTCGGCAGAAGCTCACATGCTGGTGGAAATCAGCTCTTCTCAAAGCCTGAGCCCAAGTGACCGCTTAGCGAGGTCCACGAAACCTACCATCCACGAAGCTTATAGGCCTCTGGGATGTCAGGATTCACAATGACAGTGCTAGACGACAGGACAGAGAGGCTCCGCCCACCAAAGTCAGAGAGCCGGGCTCCTTTAATAGCCATCACAGGCTGCCTGGACCCGTCAAACTTGTCGGCCTGCAAAGCAAAGCACACAGCAAGCATCACTGGCATTTTCATGGAGAACAGTCAGCAGCAGTGAATACTGTCGATGTATGTGGACTCTGTAAGACAGACCTCACACTCACGAAGCTGCTCAGACTTCCATGAAACTTATCTATCTCTCCTTCCTGAGGGAGAGTAAGGGACATTCCCCTGCGGGAAGCTGAAGTAACCGATCATTTCACACAAGTAAAGGATTTCAAGTAAATGCTGGACGGCACAACCCTTTGTCCCTCTGGAGCTAAAGCCCCACGGCCCAGAGGGACAAGCACCCCCAGACTGTCGACGCAAGGACTCACGTCTTCTCCCCAGAGAGTTGCAGTCACCACTTTCCCTGACATGTCCATCAGATAGATGTTTCTCTTAGCAACTTCTCTGTTGGTAGACTTCACTGTGATTTTAGTGGACTCTTCATAGCTCTTGCAGATCCCGAGTATGTCTGAAACACGAAACAGCCTGTGTGTGGCAGCACAGTTCAAGGCCCCTCTTCAAACACACCCCGGGGGTGCCCGGCAAGTGTGTTAGCTGGGCACCACCCCAAACACCACGCTTCGCCCTCCACCCTGGACGGACCTACAAGTGAGTCTTTAGACTTGCTCTCTAGGTCACCGATCCCTGTGAAATCAAACTGAACGGTGGGTAAGTGATGGCCATCTTCACAGGGAAGGACAGAAGTCTCGTTATTGAAGGTCATCTCATAGTCGTTTTTAACAGCCGAGAACTGCTTGTTAGCGATCTTCAGGGTGCCTTTCGAGAAATAATACACCTGCAAAAGAGGCCAAGTCAGGGAGTGCTGGTGACTCCATCAAAACCCTTCCCACAATGCAACCTGCCCACTGTGCTCACGGCCCTTACTGGCCTGATGTCGGCTCCCACTCATCGCGGTCTTACCTTGTTCACTTCGATGAGGGGAAAGAACTTGTCCACCTGCTCATTGAAAGCAGTCGCTCTGATTTCACCCTGCAAAGCAAGGGAGAGCACACTGGAACTGTGCTGCGCGACACTGAACAGCACTGAGATAACATCTCTGGTGCAGCACTCGAGTGTAAAGAGACCCCAGAGGGCTGCAGACATTCCAGAAACCTGCATACACAGCCACACTTTCAAGCTATCAGTTCTGATAAAACAAGAGAAGTTCACCTAGCTGAGCCCATGGATATGACTGAACCATCTCAGTTAAAAATGTAAATAAGGAGGCTGGCAAGATGGCCCAGCAGATAAAGGGAGGCCCCTGCTGTGCAAACAAACCTGGCCACCCCAATCCCTGGAACCTATGTAGAGGTGGAAGGCCACCAAGTTGTTCTCGAGCCTTTACACATACACACACACACACACACACACACACACACACACACACACACACACACACTCACACTCTCTCTCAAATAATTTTTAAAATGTTATCTAAAACATTTTTAAGAGGAAGAGTTTAATATTCCAATAATGAAAACAAGAAGTTCTGGATCCTGAATGACAGGCTCCAAGCCCACGGGAAAGCGTGCTGAACCCCGATGATTCAGCAGTCCGTCTTTCTCACGCCTGCAACCTAAATGATGGGGTACTTCACAGTCAGGAGCTGCTGCCAAAAACGCTCTAACAAGTCATGCTTTCAAGGTGCTCTCGATTTGATTTCACTGTTACTTTTCTGTCAGGCAATATGTTACAGATGGGTAAGAAACTTGACGAAATGGCTGAAATCTTATCCAGACAAGCTGCAGGAAAAGAGTTTCCGATCCCGAATCTGCCATCACAGTTAAGATACTTGCCATGCCACACCACAACAAGAGGAAGAGGAGGGAGAGAGAGCCAAGTTTCTGACCTCACAGTGTCATCTGTTTATTTTATATGTGTGGGTGCTTTGCTGACACCCACACATCTATGTGCATCACTTGTATGCTTGATGCCTGAAGGGAGGCCAAGAGGGGATGCTGGACCCCTGCAACAGGAATCAGAGGTGGTTATGAGCCACCACGTGGGTGCTGGGAATTGAACCCAGGTCCTCTGGAAGACCAGCTCTCCAGCCCCTGCATTTTGCTTTAAGTAAAGGATAAGGAGTGTGTATGGTCAGAAATCACATCCACAAAGTAGTCACAGCTGAGCAGCTGCTGCCCGCCTTCTGCTGGAGGCAAACGCCCCGTTCTGCAGCAGGTGTCCCACCCCAGGACTTTAAGCCTCCAGCAACGTAGTGAGAGCTGCCTACTGACTTCTATCGTTACAAAAGCTTTCCTTGAGGAGTGCTTTATCTGATGGTTAGCCCTACACCTGAGATGGCATCAACAATCTACAACAGCCAGATGGTGGTGTTGCACACCTTTAATCCCAGCAACTCAGGAGACAGAGGCAGGCGGATCTCCAAGTTTGAGGCTAGCCTGGTCTACAGAGCTAGTATCAGGACAGCCAGGGCTACACAGAGAAACCCTGCTTCAAAAAACAAAAAACAACAAACAAACAAACAAACAAACTACAATAGACGGAAAACCACAGTGACAACCATATTTCTTTCTGGCGAACTGGCATTTGGCACTTCATGGTCTTAGAGGCCAACACCTTCCCACATGGCACATACTCACACTTTCATCTACGAGTTCTATAGAGAAAAGCTTCCCTTCTCCTCGGGAATTGCTCCAGGTACGGATCTGACTTTTGTTGGTGACACGGGCACAAATAGTCCACCTAAAAACCAAACAGATGACAGTAGTGTGTGTAGTCTTTCTTACTCGGAATAGAGATCAGCAGAAATCATCTCCCTGTGGCCTTTCTTCTCTTATGCACAGTTCATCTGTCAATACTAGCTGTATTTTAATCCAGCTAATTAAAACCCTAAGATGACATACAGGTTTGACAGTTTACAGAATAAGCAAACAGTAAAATATATCAGGTAGTTTAACACTAGCTCATTCTCCTGTCAAATAAGTAAATTTATAAACCCTCTCCCTTCCTCAAAAAACATCACCAAGGCAACAATATCCCTTTAATGAAGGGTTCCAAGGGAAAAAAATGCAGTTATACCAGCAATTATATTTTGCCACTATTTTCAATTACAGGAACTAACACAATCACTATCAAATGTCTGCCTCATTTCCAATGCATGCCAAATATAAATTCAAGCCTACAAGGCATGACATTCACAGGCCACCAAAAGAAAGCACCCTAAAGTGGCATGACCCTAGAGAGAAGCCACTAAAAAAGGAGTCCCTAAACCCCAATCTCAGCCTGGTGCCCATCTTGAAAACAGAACTTGAGCACACTGATTTCCTTATTTAGAATTTTGCAGGGGAAATTATCTCCCCTATTTTACTAAATATTGTAGGATAAATAAGAACATATCTTAAAGAATTCTGGAGGGGAAAAAAAGCCCACTAATGCTCAATGCTTTAATTAATTTTTAATGCAAAAAAGTATTATCAAAGAAATCCATGCTTGGGGCATATTAATGTGGTTAATACAAACAGGACAGATGACCTTAGCCAAATTAAATTATAGTAACAAGTGTTGGACTAAAAGTCATCGATTTATACGAGATGAAATGTGAATTAACACAAAGTATATATAATTTTATTCCTAAGCCTACCAGATGATTCTTTAATCTGTAAATAATTTGAACCTCAAAGTTTTCAAAAATGACAAACCTCCATAGGCTGTGGCAGAATGCTATTTTTGCCAATCAAAGATTGATAAAAGTGTTAAAGGTTGCACAATTTGTATCCTTCTTTAGCTCAGAAAAATAAGAAAGACATCCTTTGTGGTAGTGACCCAGAAGTTCACACGTAAGTCACACAAGAGCACACCATTTGGTAACAGGTCCCACGCTTGTCCCATGCGACAACTCACTTGGATTGATAAGGGGTGAGGCTGGCGATGGGCACCACTTTGGACTGTGTCCCTCCTGAAGGCTGTAGCAGGCCAGTTCCAGCAGGTTTTCCAAATGGCTTTGAGGCACCATAAGCCTTAGCTGCAGTGGAACCTGTATAAACACACCGAGAAAGGGCAATCATTTTGTTTTTATTTCTTGAAGTGTAAGTGTGTGTGCATGCTAACTGGTGCACATGCTACGGCACGTATGTGGAAGTCAGATGATAATCTGACAGGTTCTCTTTGTTCTTTCCACTGCATAAGCCAGGTTAGCGGCTCCCCGAGCTTCCAGGGATTGTCCTGTCTCCACCTCTGATCTCCCAAGGGTGCTGTCATTAGAGATGCTATCGCTACTACATTTGGCTTTTATGTGGGTTCTCAGGATTTGAACTCAGATCTTTATGATTGTAAAACAAGTGCTTTTATCCGGTAAGTCACCTCCCCTGTCAGACAACCATTACTTTATTTAAGTTTGAAATCAATTCTCATTATGGCCATGCCACGGGAAAGGTTCGAAGCTAAGGAGCCAGTAAAGGACACCTATCACCAATGTGTCTTCCCAACACCGCCCCAGGGTAGGAAGTCTAGGATGAAATCTACAGGGTGGGAACAGAGACTAAGTGCCAGTTTTTGGTCACAATACAAACGGGTAGCCCAGTCCTATGACCTCCTTGCTTCCCTTTTCCACGACACAGCTGTTCTTCATGCAGCAAGAGCACAATGTCTATTTACAAATGAGATCCTGCCTATGCACATCATTATCTAGAAAGCTTCAGCTTCCGAAAACCAAAATCTAATTTCAATAATCTCCCTCCTCCTATACCAAAATGCTTTTCAGAAAGATTTACTTTACCTTTTGCGTGTGTGCGTGCGTGCGTGCGTGCGTGCGTGCGTGCGTATGTGTCTGGGTGTCTGCAGAGGCATCAGATCCCTTGGAGCTGGAGTTACAGGCAGTTGTGAGCTGCCTGATATGGATGCTGGGAATCAAACTTAGGTCCTTTAGAAAAGCAATATATGCTCTTAACTGTTGAGCTATCTCATCTCTCCACGGCCCCTAAACCTCTTGAGGCAGGGTTTCACTAGGTAGCCTTGGCTGGCCCAAGTGCTGAACTATGCCTGGCCTTTTAAAAAGACTTTTTATAGTTGGGTATGGTGGCAATACCTTTAGCCTCAGCACTTGGAAGGCAGAGGCAGGTGGGTATTTAAGTTCAAGGCCAGCCTGGTCTATAGAGTTTTCCAGGACAGCCAGGGGTACACAGAGAAACACTGTATCAAAAAATTAAAAAAAAAAAAAATATATAAAATAAAAATAAAAATAAGGGCTGGAGAGATGGCTCAGCGGTTAAGAGCACTGGCTGTTCTTCTAGAGGACCTGAGTTCAATTCAAAGCAACCACATGGTGACTCACAACCATCTGTAATGAGATCTGGCGCCCTCTTTTGGCATTCAGACATACATGCAGACAGAGCACTGTATACATAATAAATACATTAAAAAATGATTTAAAAAATTTACTATTATGATATATACATGTGTGTTTGATGGATCTATGGGGATGGGGGTATATGTGGGCAGAGGACAACTCTGTGAAGTTGACTGTTTCCTTCCGCTGTGGGCTCTGGAGGTTCAGTAAGGATGGTCAGGCACTTTTACCAGCTGAGCTTATCTTGCAGGCCCCAAATTAAAAAAAAAAAAAAGACAGAGTTTGGCTAAAGAGAAGGAATCCATTTCCTGAGCTTCCACATAGTGCGGCATGGACCACACTACTCCCAGATTCTCAAGTTTTCTGCTCTGGGGAGTCAGAAGTGACAATGTTCCTTTAAGATGATACAGGAAACACACACACACAGCAGAAAGAGTATGTCCCTGTGTGTGCACATACACATAAGATAAAAATCCCACCATTTCAGGTCTGGTGATATAGCTCAGTGGTAGAACACTTGTCTAGCACCCACAGGGTACTGGGTTCAATGGTGAGGGACCAGCCCCACAATTTCATTAAAGATACAAAAGCATCCATTCATTCATTTAATATTTTTATACCAGGGAGCCACCTGCCACATACATCTAGTCCATTTTCTATTACTTCTAGTTTAGGGAACATTAACTGATGATTAAAAATAAATTTCAGCCTGGCGGTGGTGGCGCATGCTTTTAATCCCAGCACTTGGGAGGCAGAGCCAGGTGGATCTCTGTGAGTTCGAGGCCAGCCTGGTCTACAGAGCGAGATCCAGGAAAAGCGCAAAGCTACACAGAGAAAACCTGTCTTGAAAAAACCAAAAAAAAAAAAATTCAGTATCAGGCAAAGAAATACAAATGAATAGGACAAGTCTGTGGAGGGAGAGGGAGGAGTGATTCACTGTTTGAATTTCAGCCAAAGAAGGGGCTTTTCAATCACTTATCATTTTACAGAATTCATTTCATCATCTCCTTCAGCCATTTACAGTGTCAGAGCTGAGTATAAGTGTAACTCACGGAGATGGGGAGGTGAGAGGTTTACATATTACAGGGATTAACTAAAAACAATGAGGACTGATAGGGAAACCTGTATGTCCTCAAAGTCTCATGGAAACTCAGTGGCATCTTAACTCTACTTTTTAAGGAACGTGCATTAAAAAAAAAAAGGGGGGGGGGAGATGGCTCAGCAGATCCAAGTGCCCGTCACCAACCCTGGAGACCTAGGTTCAATCCCCAGGACACACAACTGACTCCAGCAAGCTGTCTCCTGGTCTCCACTTGCACACTGGCGCTCACAGGCAAAATAAATAAATAAATAAATAAATAAATAAATAAATAAATAAATAAATAAATAAACAAACAAATAAATAAATAAATCTTAAGTATAATTAAAATAGAAAGAGTTGAAAAGGAAGAAGGCAGCATGATGTGGCAACAAAAACCAGTAACAACAAACTCTGAAAGTAAATTCAGCCATCTTCTACGGACCACAGTTTCCAAGGGTGGCATCCCAGACAGAGAGGCTCCTAAAAACGAAGGCCAGGAAGTACACCAATCCCATCAAGCTCTGCTACAGAGAAAGTTAAAAGGGAGAAAACATAGGAGCCACGGCCCACAGGACCAACTCTGTCTCAAGGGAAGTGATAAAAACCCTGAGAGCCTCCAATGAGAAACTTGGGGATAAACCAAATCAAACAAGTGGATGGTCACCGCAAAAAGTAAGAACTTAATTGGAATTATTCTTTGCAGCCTACCATGAATGGAAATTTTTGTTTGTTTGTTTTGAGAGTCTCATGTAACCCAGGCTGGCCTTGAACTTGCTATGTAGTGGAGAATGACCTTGAACTCCTGATCCCCCTACCGTAGTCTACCTCTAAGTGCTGGCCTAGGTTACTGTGCCTGAACCATAAAGAGAACTTTGAAAACTGATCAGTCTCAGAGTAAATTTATTTTATTATTATTATTATTATTATTATTATTATTATTATTATTATTATTATTATTTAGTTTTTGGTGGTTCAAGACAGGGTTTCTCTGTGTAGCCTTGGCTGGCCTTGAACTCACAGAGATGTGCCTGCCTCTGCCTCCCGAGTGCTGAGATTAAAGGCGTGCGCCGCCGCCACCCAGCTTAGAGTAAATTTTAAAACACTATTTTGATCTTGACCCATCACTTCGGATACCCTTGAGTAACTCTTACCCATTCCCAAGCTCCCATTCTGCGGCTGGGGCTTGCTGGCTGGTGGTGTGGCTGCTGAGGCTGGTGAAGGGGCTACTTGTTGCTGCCCGTGTCCTGGAAATCCAAAGAAAGGCCGTTTCAGTGCAAACCCAGTCAAGAGATTTCAGTGTGAGGGTAAGTACCCTAGGAAACCCCACTCCTTCAGCTTTTAGAGGGTCAGAATACACACTGGATGTCCAGCTACACACCACGCATTTGCAAAGAGCTTGCTTTTTTGTCTTGTGTATAGTAAAGGTTGCTTCCATTTACCTTTCAACTGTTCAGAATTGACAGCTTTCAGTTTTAATGAGGTTTTCCCTAAAGCCTTGCCCATTTCTCCTGCAAGAACCCGCAGTAAAGTCACTGGGCTGAATTTGTGATAGCACCACTATTTCCATAGCAACAAATCGATGTCATCAACAGGATAGTGTGCTCATGGCAGGATCCATCAGAAGAGAAAGCTGGGTGGTAAGGAAACCTAAAAGCAGTTCAACTGTCCCTCAAGTGCTGGAGCTTCAAAGGAAGAGGAGACGCTGAGAAAGGACTCCACCCTCCCCCAGACAAAGCAGCCTTATTCTGCAACTGACAGCTGGTGGAAAATACGAGCTGAAAGAGTCTCCGGTACCGTGAAGTGCTAGTGAACTGTCACAGCGGGGAGAGATGAGAACGAGTTCAGAAGCAGCCGTGTCAAGGCAACAGGGAGATAAAAAGGAGGGAAATGAACATGTCTCTCAAGCAGAAAATAAGAAACGCCACACCGCGAGAGTATGTATTTGCCCTTCACCCTTTATACAAATGTTTATGAAGTTGAAGAACGTTAAAGTTGTAAACTGCATACCTCTATGTTTTAAAATAACAAATTTGTGGAGTTGGATTTCATCTCTGTGATTGGTCTGAAGGCCAAAGTCATCCTCATTTGGGCTGCTCACCCAGGGCGCCTGCAGCTTACAAGCGCAGCTAAAAAACACATCCCGGAGTGCCCTAAAATATTAGAAATGGTGAGCACAGGTGGGCAATCTCCCCCTGCCACTGTGTTTATGCCCTCTCCAACTGTCAAGTTCAAGCTCCTGCTGGGCTTCCCAAGATCCTACTCACCAGGCATGTTACACACCCATTTAGTTCATTTTTGCCAAAATTAGTCTTAAGTGGCACGGGGAAATGAGATGTAATTGTGCCATTAGAGACAAATACATTTAGCATAAAGTTTAAAAGATTAAATAGAACTGATTATGTTTTAGCTCTTCCTCTGAAGATAAAAACCGAGATTCCTTATTTACATAGGAAAAGGGCACAGGGCCACAGACAACAAAACCCTGCACCTTTCCATTCCCCTCGAATTCACAGTCACAAAAAACTGAGCCTGGGAAAACTGTGTGACGATGCATCTTGTGAGAAACAGTTTAATTGTTTTGTTTTTGGAGACAGGGTTTCTCTGGATGTCCTGGAACTTGCTCTTTAGACCAGCAGGTCTGCTTCCGCCTCCCAAGTGCTAGGGTTTAGAGGTTTTTGCCACCACCAGCCCAGTTTTAAAGTCTTAAATGAAGCCTTCTAAAATCAGCAAGGAAAAGGTAAGTTGCTCAGTAAACACTGAAGGAAAGCGGCTAGAAGAGTGTATGTTTACCCGCATCATAAGACATATTTTTAAAAGTGACCTCCTATCCTCCAGCTAATTCTGTCCTTCTTCAACAATATTTGTGTGTGTGTGTGTGTGTGTGTGTGTGTGTGTGTGTGTGTGTGTGTGTGTGTGCGCGCGCGCGTGCCTGTACCTGTATGGAGGTCAGAGGACCTCTTGAGAGTCAGTTCTTTCCTTCCACTGTATGAGTCCTAGGGACTGAGGCATTTCACAGGCCTCTCTTTTTCTCCAGTCCTTAAATCCTCTGAAGTAGGAAGTCTCATTCCCAGCCATGCCTGCTGCGGCACACACCTGACTGAACTGGACATGGTCACTGGACACACATTCCATTTCTATAAAGAGATAACTGAGGACCGCGGGCCGAGGGGACGGCTCGGTTGGTAGAGTGAGCACAAGGCCCTAGTTTAACCCCTAGATGGGGGGTGTGGGAGAAGTGCAGGTGGACGGAGGAGGCAGAGACAGGTAGATCCCAGAGCTCACCAGTCAGGGGGCCCAACTGACAAACAAGGCTCACTGAGAAAGCCTGTCTCGGAAACCAGGATGGGGAGTGACCACGAAGACACCTGACATGGATCTTTGGCTCCCCCCACCCCATGTATGTAACACAGACAAAGTATGTATGTATGTACATACAAAGTAACTGCCACTCAGGACTGTAGAACACTCTAAGTCGGAGACAGAAGGGAAAACAGAGTAACCAGAGACAAGGCAGAGGTGGAAATGGAGGGCTGGAGCAATGAACTGATTTAAGGCTCCTGCGCATGTGAACGGTAAATGGTCAGCTGCAGCAGCACCCGCTTGTAGCCACAGCTACTCAGGAGGCTGAGGCAAGAGAAATCAACGAGGCCAGCACAGGTAACACAGGCTGACCCCCATCTGAAAGTTAAACAGTAAGTGTATATTTTACTACAATTAAAAAAATATTCATCACATGTACCTATTTAACATATACATTTTTCACTTTTATATGAATTAGTTCTAGTTTTTAGCTGAACACAATACATCGACAGTCACTGGTGTTTATTATATAACTAACAAGTCTCCACCTGCTAACTATTTGAGGTTAGGCTACTAAATTGATCGAGTACCTGCCTAGCATGCGTTAGGTCCTGGTGGTGCCTCACCTATAATCCCAGTCCTTACTCAGCAGGTAGAAGGAGGTGGATCAGAAATTCAAGGTGCTCCTCCTCTGCTACACAATGAGTTTGAGGCTAGTCTGATACACGAGACACCAGTAACAACTACTACTGCTGTTTTCCGGAGTGTTTACTCTGGACAAGGAGCAAGGGTTAAGTGCATTTTCCCAGTAACTGTCACAGATGGAGACAGTTCTTCATCCTTTACCGTGGTGGGGGAGAGAGAAGCTAGTATTACTCAGCTCTGTCTGGCTAAGTTCACGCACTTCACCATCATGTGGTTAAATTGTAAACAGCCAATCCTGGCAATAATAACTCTAGTTATATAGAACATAAGATATGGTAATTAGGAAAAGCTACTAATCCACTTAATAGAGTAACCTTTATCTCTTACAAATCTGGTACAAGACACAGCCCTGAACCAAATGATGGCAAGAATTCCAGAGCATTCTAAATAGCAACAATTGCCTTTCAATTAATGCACTGTAATACAGCATCTGCCCATAAGACCGAAAATAAATCAGTCCATAGCTAAGGAAAAAAATCTTTCTAAAAGCCAAAAGGATTCTACAAAGCAATAATGTAGGCTCCATTTATAATAACCCGTTTTGTGCCGCCAGCAAATCCAGCCATTCCAGTAGGCTAGATCAACACAGTAATTCTTCAGCTTTCTAGCTCTGGCTGGCTACACACAGGCTCAGAGCCAGGAAGAGAAACCAGCTGAGAGCAGATTTGTGCTCCTCGGGTGACCCGCACTCATACCTATCATTTTTACTATCTAGTAAGGCAAGTGGGCTGGGGGCAGTGAAAAATTCAAACAAACCCATTAACTTCCCAAGCAAGTACTTTCCTAACAAATACCAAGAATAGACAGAGCCTGAAGTGTGGTGCACTCCTTTAATCCCAGCACTCAGGAGGCAGAGACAGGCGGATCTCTGTGAGTTCGAGGCCAGCCTGGTCTATACAGTTCCAGGACAACCAGAACTATGTAGTGAGACCCTGTCTCAACTCCCAAACCACTGAAAATAAACAAAAAAGAATGAAAGGATCAGTGCAATATATCTAAGCTCCTGGTGACAGAAAAGGGACATGATCAGGATGAATATAATTGCAATATGAATAATAAACTAAGTATTGTATAATACATTTTGATCTGAGCAAGCTATTGTTACCAATAGTGAAAACACAAAGGATTTGCACACAGACACACACTGACAAAAACACAGTTCCAAGTATGACAGACTTAAAACCATCCATCCCTGAAGTATACGCAGCAGGAACTGTCTGCAGTTTTATTTCTCACTTTGAATCATCGTCTTTGCTCAATATGGCAGCAGTAGTAAAATGTATATTTTGCATTTCAATGTACCCTGCTCAGCTCTTTTTTTTTAAAATAAATCTTCATTAGAGGGGGGTGGGGAGGGATAAAAAAAAACTTCATTAGAGTTATCACTAATACAATGGAGTCTATACCAGGCTATTTTGAGATCTCTTCTGCCAACAGAATTAATTAATTAATTAATCAATTAATTAATCCAAATCTCTAAAACCCCCTTTTCCCCCTCTGAAACCTCTTGAGTGAGTCCCTGGCATTTCAAATAACTCTTAGCACCTCTGTCTTCCATGCTCCTACTAGTATGGCCCATGAACTGCTTTCATGTCCCAAAGTACCAAAGTCCAAATTCCTCCAGACAAACACATGGTCCAACCTACCACAGCAACACCCCAGTCCCTGGTATCAACTTCAGTCTTAAGTTAGGGTTTTCACTGCTGTGAAGAGACACCATGACCACGGCAACTCTTATAAAGAAAACATTTAATTGGGGCTGGCTTACAGTTTCAGAGGTTCAGTCCATTTTCATCACAACTAGGAGCATGGTGGTGTGCAGGCAGATGTGCTCCGGGAGCTGAGAGTGTTACATCTTGCAGCCAACAGGAAGTTGACTGAGATACTCAGCAGTATCCTGAGCATCGGAAACCTCAAAGCCTGTCCCACACACTTCCTCCACAAGGCCCTACCCACTCCAACAAAGCCACATCTCCTAATAATGCCACTCCCTATGAGATTATGGGGACCAATTACATTCAAACTACCATACTCATTAAAAAAATAAAATAAAATAAAATAAACAAGCCAAAAAACTACCACACAGCAAAACATCAGAAGCAAATCACAAAGAATCTACAACTTGGATTCAGGTAGTTAGCTGCACTTACACATTTAGGGGTGCATGTGGGTGCAATAATAAAGAAAAAGAGGCCAGGAATCTGAGAGGGAATAATAGGAGAGACACAGGAGGGGGTGG